ACGATCTCAACGCGGAGCCATCCTTTTCCATGTCTCTTGAGGAACAAGGCTTCTTCACTATGGAGCAGTCCGCCATTTCCAAATCGGAAAACACATTTCGAGGTCCTCTTCTCACCTCAACACCTCTGAGTGCCTTCAACAAATGAGGAACACGATCACTTCCAATAATCGTGCGGCTGGCTCCTGTGTCCAAAATGGCTTCATCAAAATCCTCTTCCAGATGTCTGGTGGGCATGAAGCCTGTTTCACTGGAAAAGTATGGCTCAAGCCTCGACAGGCATGCGTCCCGGCTGGCTCGTCACGCTTCAAATCATTGTGAGGCCTAGCACGGTGGTTCAAAGCACGGGACAACGCATTCTTAAACCCCGAGAGTTCCAATGACACAAAACATTCACCAACCTCACAACTACCAACCTTCAAAAACTCCATCACTGAATCTGTCAAAAAACTCTTTCTGGGGGTTCATGGAAAACGCCTGACAGGGTTTCAAACATTTTTCAGGTAGGTTTGGACTCTCCTGGATCTCATCCGGCAGGTCTTCGGGAAGTTCTTCTGGAGTCATCTCTGTGAAGTCCTCCGCCATGGTGGCCATCTCTGTCTGGCGGTCTGTTCGATCAGCTCTCTGAGGGCATTCCCGTTTCCAATGCCCTGCCTTGCCGCAAATCCTGCAAGTCGAATTGGCAATTCTCTCTGCCAGTGTCTTGCGGGGTGGAGCTGACCAAGACATCTTTCCTCCTTTCTTTCCTCCGCCTCCACCAAGGCCTTTGCCTTTGCCTGTCGAGCGAGGGGGCCAAAAGCCCCGATGACGAGCTCGCTCCTTCAAGCGAGATCGTGCTTCTTGATAGCTCAGGAAGCACTGTGACAAATCTCCGGATTCTTGGACTGCCTCGATGATCTGTTCTTCAAACTCTTGAATGAAGATGGCGTCTTCATCTCCCTGTTCCAGGAGGGTCTGGTAGGCATGCTCCTCATCGAAGGTCTCCTCGGTGGTCATCATGACTGGTTCCGTCTCGTCAACGGTGTGGACATCGTAGGTCTTCAACTTCCGATTTGACCCTCCCTGTAGATCCTGGAAGAACCGTGAGCCTAGGAGCCTCATGGCTTCACGGGTTGCTTCATAGGTGAGCACTCCTTTGTTGTCAATGATGATCTTCTTCTTCTCTTCACTGGTGAGTTGAGAGCGCCGAATCATCACGTATGCTCGAATTTCTTCGAGCGTCACTCCCTTGTCCTTCTGGAGGATCTCCTCAAAGCACGCCTCATGTCTTGCAATGAAACTATCATTGCTCTCATCTGGTTTCTGGGTAGTCAAAAACAAAGCCCGTTCAAACTTCACATAGCGATCCTCGTTGAGGAAGCGACCCCACTGCATCCCCAAAGCTGCCAGGATTGCTTCGCAACCACCCTTGGACTTCAGCTTGGCCGGATCTATCTTTGACACCTTTTTGAATGCGACAGAATCGCACTGCAACGCCACTCTGGGCGCAAGATGTCCGATATGTTCCTCCGGCCAGATCGAAGCTAAAAACATGAGTTTCTTCGCGAAGTCTTCCAGATCGGTCTCCCCTGCAGTGAAGCTGGGGATTTGGCCCCATGGGAGCTGACTTGTCGAAATCGAGCTTCGCCCCTCACCATCATCGGTCGCCGCTGCTTTCGGCGCCATGACACCGAATGCACACCCTGGTGCAACCTACGTGAAAACACGTGAGAACAAAATTTATCAACACCTGAAAACCTGCCTCCTGTTTGGAGGCTCCGCTGCCAATGCGAATCCTGTAGGTAATGGACCTCCTATCCTACCTACTCCTAGGTTGCCTCTACCTACAACCAACCCTGTGAACGGACCCTGTCCTTGTTTCCTCCGTGCGTCTCAAGTCCCACAACCCCGCCCTCCCTTGGACTCGTGCCAGAAGCGGGGCGATACGAACTCTGCTCGACGGTGACTGCACATTTCACATTCCACTTATTTTCTAAGTGTCTTTGTCTTCCTGAGTTTTTCTACTTCCATTTATCCAAGAGAGTCTGTCCCTCCTATCTGCTCTCTCCTTAAGTGCAGCCTCTTCGTCGAATACGCTATATTTGCCTTGTGCTAAGCACTGTCGAAGCAAAGTGCTCTCCATGGCTTTGTCAATGAGTCTGCCAATTGTGCCTGAGAACTTACCCACCTTAGTCTACAGTTCTCCTTGAGTCTTTCCCTAATCAGGATGCACTCTAGGCATGTCCTATACTCTTCACAAGTCGGGGTGGAAGTTTTAGTGGCAACATCAAGGACCGATTTGCAATCGGTGACCATGGAGGCTTTCGGTGCCTGACACAACATCTCTGCAGGCTCCATCACATTGCTTCCGGGATGTTTCATCCATTCCCAGAAGAGACGAATCCAAGAAAGCCTATCCAGGGAAGAACTGAGCGCGACAGCCTCTGCGGACAACGTGGATCTGACCACTCGAGGAATACGCTTGGAGCTCCAAGCAATTGGACACACAATCCCCACTTGATTGTTTTCCAAGCTCCTGTCTGTTGCGAAAACTATCGTTCCTTGTCGGGATGCAGCATCCTTGTTGGTTGCAAAAGAAGCGTCACTGAAAGCACAAAATGTCACTTCACTGGTTGGGATTGGCAG